GAACTTGGTGTATCAGCATGTAGATTGCTTTGGAAGTTAAGAACAAATGGTGCTTGGTTGATGGCAGCATCACACCGCTTGGCAGAGATCATCCTTAGTATTTGATGTGGAGAAGGGCAATCTGATGATTTGTTCCTGGTTATTCAAGGTTGTTCATCCTTCGATCGCTCAGAGCATTATGCATCTCGACGAAGGGAGAGAAATCCGTGAGGAACTGAGGAGGAGGTTCTCTCACGTTGATGCACATCGCATATCTATTTTACAGAATGAGATCTACAATGTGAAGCAAGGTCTCATGTCTGTGAGTGATTACTACACCAAAAGCAGAACCCTATGGGAGGGGATGAACACATTGAGGCCACTTCCCATTTGCAAATGCAATCCGAGATGTGCTTGTAATCTAGTTGATCATATTCGAAAAGAGAGAGATGTTGGCCAGGTAATTCGCTTTTTGCAAGGGTTGAATAATGACTATGGTAGTCTGAAGTCTAATATACTTATACTAGACCCCTTACCTGAGGTATATGCAGTCTATGTTATGGCAGAAAAACTGGAAAGACAAATTAGCTTGAATAATTTGAATCTAGGACATTTGGATCTTAATATCTCTAGTGCAGTACAAAGCAGCCAAGGTTCTACAAGTGGAGAGGCTGATGCAGCAACTCTGAATGCCTATAATGGCAGGAGGAACAATGCTGCGAAACCTAAGTGCACATATTGTGGGATGATAGGTCACACTATGGATAAATGTTATAAAAAACATGGTTATCCTCAGGAATGGGTGCCCGGCTTCAAATCCAAAGGGAAACAGGTTAATGCAGTGGTGAATAATGATGTTGGAGATCTAGGTATCACAACAGATCAATTGCAAAAGATAATTTCTATTATCAAAACTCAGAAGGCAGCTCCAACTTCTGACACAAGTGCAACTGTTTCCTTGGGAACAAACTTTGATGAAATACAGACCAATAATGCAGGCAAGTATTCTTTTTCCCATATTAACTCTCTTGATTTATGCACATCCACTTGGATTATAGACTCAGGAGCTACAAACCACATTGTATGCTCTCTTGATCTTCTTGACAACTATCAAAAAGCCGTTGGAGCTGTTGTGAATTTACCTACTGCCCAATGTATTAATGTTGAGCACATAGGAGATGTCAAGTTAAATGGTGACATATGGCTAAGGGAAGCTTTGCATATTCCCACATTCAAATTCAATATTATGTCAGTGAGTAAATTAATCCAAGATACATCTTACAAGCTCACATTTATGGATGGACGGTGTTTGGTTCAGAGGAATGGTTTGATGGCTGGTTTAGCTAAGCAGGAAGGGGGGCTGTATGTGTTAGAAGACACCAGACTTGCTAGAAAAAAGTCTTGTTATGCAATGTAATGATGCAAAAATTTGGCATCAAAGACTGGGCCATTTCCCCATTAATAAACTTTATTTGTTTTCTGAAATTGATGCTTCTAATACAAAAGATTTGATTTGTGATGTATGCCACTTAGCTAAACATAAGAGGTCTCATTTCCCTTTGAGTACTAGCACTTCAAAAGCATGCTTTCATCTTATACATGTTGATATTTGGGGCCCCTTCCCAATTTGTTCCCTAGATGGACAACGATATTTCCTCACAATTGTTGATGATTATTCAAGATATACATGGCTACACTTGATTAAAACAAAGTCTGAAGCAAGGAAGTTTATTCGTCACTTTCATGCATATGCTTATACACAGTTTGGTGTTATGATTAAGGTGATTCGCAGTAACAACGGACATGAGTTTAACATGGAAGAAATCTTCTCAGAAAAAGGTATCGTTCATCAAAGGTCGTGCGTTAATACGCCCCAACAAAATGCCATAGTGGAACGAAAGCATCAACATATATTAAATGTGGCAAGATCCATCTGCTTTCAAGCGAAGCTCCCTCTCCAATTCTGGGGGCTTTGTGTCATGCATGCAACTTACCTTATAAATAGGTTTCCATCTCCGGTGATATAAGGAGACAGTCCATATCAAAGGCTATACAAGAAGATGCCAAACATTGAACAGCTCAAGGTGTTTGGTTGTTTGTGTTTTGCTGCCACCTTATCCACAAACAAACACAAGATGGCCCCAAGGGGAAGGAAATGCATATTTGTAGGAATTCCAGCAGGCACCAAAGGTTACTTATTGTATGATTTGGGAGATGGCTCTACATTTACCTCCAGAGATATCATATTCTATGAGAGACAATTTCCAATGTCTGATCATAACAACTTGCAGCATACGGAGGGATCACAACCATCTTTGCCTCTGATTCCAACTTCCACGAATCTGGAATTTGAACTTGAGCATCAGCATACTGCCGAACAATCATCCAATCCCAACCTTGACATTCAACCAAGTCTTGGTTCACAGACACCAAGTTCTGAAAATCAGAATTGTTACAATCAACCTAGCAATGAGTCAAGTCAGTCACAAAATTTGGCCACTGACAGAGTATCCCCCAAGCTAAGACGGCCTATCAGAACTCAACATGCTCCCACGAGGCTTCAAGATTACTATTGCGATGCTATTATGGAAAAGAACTCCTCTCCCCATCACCTATCTAAAGTTATTTCGTATGAAAGCCTTACCATGCCTCACATGATGTTCTCCATGGCGCTTACTTCTATTAATGAGCCTAGAACACACAATCAAGCTGTGCAGTATGACTGTTGGAAGGAGGCAATGGCAGCTGAGATCAAAGCTTTGCAAGAAAATAACACTTGGGAGATTGTTGACTTACCACCCGGGAAAACTCCCATCGGTTGTAAGTGGGTATACAAAGTGAAACTTAAAGCGGATGGCTCCATAGAACGGTGCAAGGCAAGGTTGGTTGCAAAGGGTTTCACCCAACAGTTGGGGATTGATTACATTGAAACTTTTTCCCCGGTCGCACGGCTCACCACTATATGCACTTTTCTGGCAGTAGCTGCTTCACGCGGCTGGGATATTCACCAACTAGACATAAACAATGCTTTTTTGCATGGAAGTCTAGATGAAGAAGTCTATATGGTCCTCCCACCTGGATTTCAGAATGGTAAACCAGGATAAGCTTTCAGACTCCTTCGCTCTCTTTACGGCTTAAAGCAAGCTAGTCGGCAATGGAACTTCCGGTTAACCAGTGCTTTACTTAGTAGAGGCTTTCATCAGTCAAAATCGGATCCCTCCTTATTTGTTAAAGGCCAAGGTATGCAATTTATTGCCACATTAATATATGTTGATGACATCCTTGTCTCAAGTCCTAGTCAGGTTTTGATCCATGACCTAAAAGACTTCCTTGACACCACATTTAAAATCAAGGATCTAGGCAACTTGAGATACTTTTTAGGAATCGAAGCTCACAGAAATGATGAGGGGTTGAACTTGTGTCAAAGAAAGTATTCCATAGACATACTTACTGAAACTGGTTTTTTGTCTTGCAAGCCGATAAACACACCAATGGCACCAGGCCACCAATTACAGAAAGAAGGGGGGGTACTCTGTTGCAAGACATTAATGGCTATAGATGTCTTGTTCGACGTCTCTTGTACCTCACAGCCACGAGGCCAGACATCACCTTTGCAGTACAGCAGCTTAGCCAAATTGTGGATAGGCCTACCAATGATCATTTGACTGCAGCACACCGGATTCTAAGATATATAAAGAAAGCTCCTGGCCAAGGAGTCTCTTATCCCAGAAATGGTGAAATGCAGCTCAACGTATTCTCTGACTCCGATTGGGCTTCCTGCCCAGAAACTCGAAAATCTGTAACCGAATTTTGTATATTCCTTGGAAAGGCTCCTATTTCATGGAGAACGAAGAAGCAAGCCACGGTTTCCCGTTCGTCCTCTGAGGCGGAATTAGGGCTCTTGCTGCCACTGTTTGCGAAGTACAATGGATTAAAAATTTGCTCCATGATCTATAGGTTCAGTTATCCAGGCCTGCTACTGTATTTTGTGACAATAAATCCGCTATTGCTATTGGAGAGAACTATGTGTTTCATGAGCGAACGAAACACATAGAAATATTGTCATATCGTTCGTGAAAAAGTAAGCCAAGGCCTGGTTAAACTCCTCTCTGTCTCCTCATCCAACCAAGTTGCTGATGGTTTTACCAAGGCTCTTCCTATCTCTCCTTTTCAGATGTTTGTCTCTAAGCTGGGCAATCAGAACCTTCACACTCCAGCTTACCAGGGGGTAATGGAGAGCAGTACACCGACATTTCTCAGAAGCAGGAATGAAGGTGACAAAGAGAAGAGAGGGCAACAATGTAATTACACTTCAATTGTTAGTTATAACCGCTTTTCCCCACTTCCCTCTTGTATATTAGCTTAGAGCTCTTCATCTGCAATTGATTCTGTTACATTCTCTGTTACATCAATGAAACACCATCTTCATCCTTTCGATTAGCTCTCTGCTTCCAAGTCTATTAGAAAGAGTTAAAAAAAAACTGTAAAACTATGTTAATGCCAAAGGATTCAAACCCTCAACGTTCACTATTATCAAACATGTGCTCTACCAACTAATCTAACTCATTCCTTGTTACCATTTAATAGTTTTTTTTGTACTAATACTAAAACATGTACTATATACATATATACATATAAAGATTATATATGGGGTGGGGGTGGGGTGAGAAGGGGCAACTGCCCCCTGCTCCCCCCCCCCCCCCCACCCCCTTGGTTCCGTCCCTGCCAGCACAATAAGTAGCGTTAGTAACAACGACACTTCTGCCGATCCAATAGCTAGCAATTGGCATGGCTGAAATGACTGGTTGTGGCAAAGAGTAAGATGCCGATTGTTTGAGCTCAACAATGCATCTAGTGAGCTCTAAGGCATACTTGATCGAATCATTAAATGGGTTTTCCTTATAAGAGGTTGTTGTTGGATTGGTGGTTTGGGTGATGATTGTCAACTGCTTTGTCAATCCAAGCCTAATTGAGAAATAATGTTGAGTTTACCATAACTAATGGAGAAAGCTATAAGCATTAGCACCAACTTTGCCTCCCATGAATACGTTGATAGTGTGCTCAATAAACATATTATGATAAGTGTCCATCAATGGTGCTTAACCACTTAGACGCTATCTAAAAAATGAAATAATTCAAAATAAAAGGGAATAGTACGACGGAGCTAACCACCGTTCCTATTAAATACTGGTGGCCGAATGTGGACACGGAAATTACGCCGGTCGTTGGACGCCGCTTTAAAACACTAGCCGAAGGCGTTCATTTCTATATCACCTATGCCCGGACATGTGGCTTTAAAACTGCGTGTCCTGCTAAAGAGTGTCGTCTTGATGGCCAGATGTCGTGGCTGGTGCCTCAGCTGGTTCGGAGTTGGGGTGGGGTGTGTCCTCCGTCGGCTCCGGTATTAACCCCCTCAACAAATTCACCACGCTGGCGATCCTATGGAAATTCGGGTCCATGCGAGCTTGGCTGGGGTTTTTGCGTACTAACTCTGCAATCCGTGTGGCTATTGAAAAAAGTTCCCTAGTCATGGACGCGAATTCCTGCTCAAACCCCTACGGCAAAACGGATCCCAAACAATCAAGAATATAGGAAAGCAAATTAAATATGCCTCAAACACGGATAGAAACGGGGTAGAGGAAGCACAGGTGGAGTAGGCGTACCGTGTTGGGACTTGGAGGGGGCACGTGGTGAACCGTGGGTGGACCGGTGCCATCCTCGTAGCCTGGATCAACTTCTTGGATGGGTGGATGTCGGGCGCGCGTAGCTGATGCACGAGGCAGTATACATCGGTTGCTTAAATTCACCGGTTGTTGATCATCACGACCTGGAGCAACACAAAGACATGCCCCACTAGATTAGTGCAAATGAAACTTGAAACAAAGCATATAATTTCAGGCCATGGTGACGTCAAAGTTCAAAGCATGAAACTGACGTGTTTTCAAGTAGTATCAAACTGAAGCAAAAAATGTAACAGCCAAGTGGGAACCAGTAGTTACATGATTACATACACTGATACTTAGAAAGGTTATGTGTAAATATATTAGGCAACCCAAACAATTCATCTAGGTAAAGAATAAACTCTCAATAATCTTCAAAGCTTGCATGATTACATATACTAATAGTGTAGGAAGCGAGAAATGTCGAAATAGCAAAACTAAATAAAACCATATAACACAAGCCAAGACCACCTTGATTTCTTAATTCAGCAATTTTTCCCCATTCTACTCCTTAGCTTCACTAGAAGAATCTTACTGAAGCAAAATTATAATAATCCATTGAAAGCGTTTGCTAGAAGTGAAGAGAAATCTAAGAGGCCATCTGGCTTTCATGACAGAGCCAAAAGGGGCCAGGCCACTGATTGCACTCTAAGAATGCGCAAAGAGTATAAATTCTTCATTCTTGATTAAATGGATTATCTTTGTTTTAATCCATTCTAGCAAGTGGAGACTCTACTTACACCTACTTTGAACAGATTAGCAGAGAAACGATGAGTGAACGAATGAAGCTTTTACAAGATGATGTGCCAGGCTGCAATGCGGTGCAAAAAAATAGTGAATGGCTGGTGTTTTGAGTCAAAGGAAAATCTGCAGAATTCTGAAAGTTCAGCTTGTTTTCATAATAAACTGATTTTATCAACTCTAATTGAAACCAAAACAAAATGTTAAAATGTAAAAAAGTTAACCTAAGGGCCAACAAAATGCTATTTTAATATTTAAATTGTATGCAAATTGACAAAATGGTCTAACAAAGAGAGCACTAATATAAGTATATATCTATAACAAAGATGTTACTGCAGTTTGGATTAATATCACAGTGCAAGGGCCACCATTATATTACTCATCTTCCTAAACTGTAGGTTTGGAGTAATATTCAACTTTACTAAATTATTCATTACATAAAAAAAATTGATAAATGACTGAAATACTATATTATATATTATGTAGTTCAGCTCCATAATAAAAACCAGCCATCTTCATTGATTAATACTGAACTCTACCCATAAACTCCTAATAACTGTTTCAAGTTTGGACTTATCTGCTTCATTTGTGCTTTCTAGAGAGTAAACTACAGAAGAAGTTTATCAACAAACCAAAAACAGATTACCCCCACCTATAATTGGGGATTTTTAAATGCTACATGGTTGCCTATTTGTCTAGTGCAATATGCATGCCAGCAGACCCCAATCAAGCTACGAATGCACAACAAGCAAACTGCCAAAAGCCCAATTCGAGCATCCATGTGCTCCAGGAAAACAACCCAAATTACCAATTTCAAAATCGCACGGAATATGACTAAAAACCATGCGAACCAGCACTAACCTCGCAAACCCCACCGGTGCGCCGTCCGTCGCCGTGCAGAACGACCGTGATGCCTCCGCAACACTGTACGAAGCAGCCGAGGGCGGCGTCGCCGGCGAGAATGACTGCCCGGACCGACCCCTCCACGAACGGCGACTGCCACTGACCGAGCCATTGATTACCACACAAACCTCCGGGAGAACGTAAAAAGGGGGAAAAGAAAACAAAAAGCCCACTCCTACACACGGCCAACTTATTGCCCTGATGAGATTACAAAAACGCCCTTACAAAATGCACCACTCAAAAATGCTGAATGGAACGCGGTGCACTTGGTCCTGGTGCACATTAATTCATAGCCCATGATCATCCCAAATGAACGGTCAGTATGAGTGTACAAATGCACATGATAATTGAAGTTTATACCTAAACATATAATAGTAAAATAAGTACGTAGTTATTTATAAAATTTTACTTTGCCTATTCTCTTATCCCAAAAGGCTGAATCATCAACCGTCCCTCACACTCCGACCCGACAGAGCATGTGGGAGGAAGGCAGGGCCATATGCCGGTGCGCACAAGGAATCTGTCCACTTTGGACATAATTCCCCATTGTCGCCGCCGAAGTTCGAACATTGGTCTCTTATCACAAATACTGCTCACTAAACCATTGAGCTAAGCCCGTACGGGTACTTTGCCTATTCTCTTGCCAAAGTGGACGGGGCATCTTTGTCTCTGTTCACTTCTGTATGGTTCTATGTTTCGCTGGACTTTTTGATTTCGTTATTATTGAAATATATTCCTTTGCATTTTAAAAAATTAAAGAAGTTTTATTATCTATTTCACTTTCTTTTTTTCAGGAGATGTAGAATGTATGCTCATAAAATATTTCAGCTACTCTTCTCAGATATACAAGTCTTGTAAATCTGCTACTTCTTTTTTCTTTTTCTTTTCTAGTTCTTGGAGTGCATTAGAAGCAGGGACTGAAACGCTTCTATTTTCTTTAAATTTCGTGATTATTCCTAAATTTTACCTAACAAATATAATGTGCATATTAGATAATGTTTATTGGGCAAAACATCAATAGAGAAAGCATAAATTAAAAGGATTGAAATAGTTCTTTTTACACATACAAATCTTTGTACATTTAATACTCCATAATAACATTGTGACCAAAAGTTTTTTTTTTTTCGGCCAACTGTAAATGGACTCGTTTTCCAGAAATAATAAAAAGAAAACAAAATAAATACTAAAAGCTTGTTAAAAGATTGGAACGGATGCAAATATTATTATAGTCTTTTTGCCAATGGCGGCTGACATGATAATTGGATAAGTATATTGGTATCTAACGCGAAATGGCGGCTGACATGATAATTTGATAAGTATATTGGTATCCAACGCGAAATGTTAATTATCATAATGATCATCGAACATTGCCAATAATGATCAGGAGCTGGGAGTTAATCCAAGCATTTAGTACAAGAGTCGTTGCACTTAATATGGGAGCCGTTGTGTTTAAAGTTAATTCAAGCAATTACTACTAGTTGTTAGGAAAAAAGTGCATTTAAATTTTGAGTCAAAGTGTAATCTAGGACGTAATATTAGGCCCCTCAAAACACTATAATTTTCAAAGTATAGAAGTCTATTTTGCTTTGTCAAAATCATCTACAAGGTGTTTGGTAAATAGTTGTTAGCTAATTAGGTTAGTGATTTGATTAGTTGATAACATTAGCTGATTGTAAAAAGATGTTTCGTAAATTCGCTGATAGCTGATACATACAAAATGACTTTCTCAAAAAATTAATCAAAAGAGCTGCTTTGATCAAACACTCATAACACTTTATGTTGTTTTATGGCTATTATTTAATAGTGAGCTTATTGGTTCAACACAATATCATATATATATATATATATATAATTAAGTTCATGTGCTGTTGTACGGTTATCAATGTGCGTGAGTTTTGTGCTTAAGGTGCGTGAGTCTTGTGCTTAAGGTGCGTGAGTTTTGTACTTAAGGTGCGTGGGTATGTATTTTATGTGAGTAGTGTTCAAACTTATGGTGCATGAGTTTTGTGCTTAAGGTGCGTGAGTATTGTGCTTAAGTTGCGTGAGATTTATGTTCTTAATGTGGGTAGTTGTTGAAACTTAAGGTGCATGAGTTTTGTGCTTAAGGTGTGTGAGTTTGTGTTTAAGGTGCATGAGTTTTGTACTTAATGTGCGTGAGATTAGTGCTTAATGTGCATGAGATTTGTGCTTAATGTGTGTGAGATTAGTGTTTCTTAAGGTGATTCGTTTGCATTTTTAAAAATTAAAGAAGTTTTATTATCTATTTCACTTTCTTTTTCTCAGGAGAGGTAGAATGTGTGCTCATAAAATATTTCAGCTACTCTTCTAAGATATACAAGTCTTGCAAATCTACTATTTTTTTTTTATCTTTTCATTTTTTAGTTCTTGGAGTGCATAAGCAGGGATTGAAACGCTTCTATTTTCTTTAAATTTTGTGATTATTCCTAAAGTTTACCTAACAAATATAATGTGCATATTAGATATTTATTGGGCAAAACATCAATAGAGAAAGCATAAATTAAAAGGATTGAAATAGTTCTTTTACAGATACAATTCTTTGTACATTTAATACTCCGTAATAACATTGTGACCTAAAGTTTTTTTTTTCGGCCAACTATAAATGGACTCGTTTTCCAGAAATAATAAAAAGAAAACAAAATAAATACTAAAAGCTTGTTAAAGGATTGTAACCGATGCAAATATTATTATAGTCTTTTTGTCAATTGCGGCTGACATGATAATTGGATAAGTATACGGGTAACCAACGCGAAATATTAATTACCATAATGATCATTAAACATCGCCAATAATGGTCAGGAGCTGGGAGTCCAAGCATTTAGGTTCTGTTTGATAGAGCTTATTTTGGAGCTTATAGCTTATTTTAAACTATTAATAAGCTATAAGTTTTTTTTTTTTTTTTTTTGTAATATTCCTAAAATAAGCTCCTAGCTTCTTAATTTTTTTTTCCATCTTTATTCTTATTATTTTAAAGAAATGACATAATTTACCATTTCCAATTAAAATTCTTTTCTCTTCTCCTTTATCCGCAACTTTCACCACAAATACTATTATTATTATTATTATTATTATTATTATTATTATTATTATTATTATTATTATTATTGTTATTGTTATTGTTATTGTTATTGTTATTGTTATTGTTATTGTTATTGTTATTGTTATTGTTATTGTTATTGTTATTGTTATTGTTATTATTATTATTATTATTATTATTATTATTATTATTATTATTATTATTATTATTATTATTATGAGATTTGCAACAATATTGCTACTTCATTATGAGATGCTAGATCATGATTATGCTAATAGTTTTATTTCAAAATGTTAATTTTTTTTAAAGACAAAATGTTAAATTTTAATATGTAAACAAACTAATTTAAATTTTATGAAGATGTCCTTTTTTAGTATTTTTACATTTATCAGCTTATCAAAAAGTTAATTTTACCAAACACTTTCAATCATAACAGCTAGCTTAACAGCTCTTCAGTTTTCAGCTCCGAGCTTATAGCTTTTTAGCTTTCAGCTCTTATCTTATAACTTTTCAGCTAGGTTTGCCAAACAACGCCTTAGTACAAAAATCGTTGCACTTAATATGAGAGCCGTTGTGTTTAAAGTTAATTCAAGCAATTACTACTAGTTGTTAGGAAAAAAAGTGCATTTAAATTTTGAGTCAAAGTGTAATCTAGGACGTAACATTAGGTCCCTCAAAACACGGGTTTGTTTACCAATAGAAAACTGTTCTTTGTTTTCTATTTTCTGTTTTCTATTTTTTCAGTTTTCATTCTCTATTTTTTATTCTATGTTTTCTGTTTAGAAAACTTGTTTACTAACTGAAAACTGTTCTCTGTTTTCTATTTTCTAATTTTTCAGTTTTCACCTAAATTTTAGTTTAGATAATATTAATATTTTTTTGAGCTAATATTTAAAATATTTTTTTAAATATATTCATTTGAATGACATGTATATGAATATATAACTTTTACTTTGAATTCTAATATATGTGAAATTTCAACATCCGATATCTGGACCGAACTTGTATTATGATGTAACATAATTAAAAATATTTGAACTAATAATCTATTGAGTTCAATCAAAATCTAAAATATTATATAGAGTTCAATTCTTTCTTTTTTTTGAATGCATATAGAGTTTAATTCTTAATTTTGATAATGTAATAATGTCTAACTTTAAAGTGTAAGCAAATAAATTATGTTTAAATAAGTAAAGTAAGTAGAAAAGATAGAAGATATTGATAAGTAAAAAATATGATAATGAATGTAATCATAGTAATGTGGTTGTAGTGACATATAACTAAATAACAAGTGTTTGGTAAATAACAATTAGCTGATTAGGTTAGGTTATTAGTGTTTGGTAAATAACATTTTGTGACCGGCGTAAATAACAATTAGCTGATTAGGTTATTAACCAGATGTTTAGTAAATTAAGTAACATTAGCTAATTGTAAATTGGTAAATAACAATTAGCTGATTAGGTTATTAGTGATTTGATTAGTTGATAACATTAGCTAATTGTAAAAAGATGTTTAGTAAATTAAGTAATTAATTAATAGCTGATACATACAAAATTATTTTCTCAAAAAGTTGATAAAAAAATTGCTTTGATCTAGCTAATTTTATAAATTACTACATTAACATTCTTTTATATTAATAATGAGATGTGTAATTTATAATGTATTTTCTATTTTAATTATTTTATCAAATTAATTATGTTTCATATTTTGTTATGAATAATTTTATAAAGTTTTGATATGCTTTATTTTTTACTCATATCCAATAATATTTATGGCCATACTTCTTAAGTGTTTCATTTTTTTCAAATTATCTCTTTTATTGTAATGTTGCACCCCCAATGAAAAAAAATTCTGACTCCACCCCTGTATCCAGGTACTGCCTTGTTAGCATCTTCATTGATAACACATCATTATTATAATATACATATATCTATCATATCTTTTCCTATTTTTTAATTATCATTTTATTAAAATCAATATATATTAATTTAGTGCTTAATTATATTTTAATTAAATTGTCAATACTATATGGTCTAATAGTATCCGGGTTGGACTTCCATTTGAAAGGTTGCGAGTTTGAGCCTCAGTGGAGGTGTTATTAGTTCTTTGTGTTTCAGTG